GCGGAGGAAGCCTGCTGGCCTCCTGGCAACCAGGGGGCAGAGAGAAGGGAGGGGCGGGGAGGGAAGTGAAGGCCCGTGACCGCCTCCTCCAACTGCGCACCCAGCTCCAGACCCAAGCTCCAGCCGCCCGCCAGAAGCCCTGCCTCTGAGCACGTGGGGGTTTGGGGCTCTTGATCGAAGCCATCGCTGATGGTGGTGGAGAAGCAGGTGGAGTTGGGGTTGAGGGGAGAATGGAACGCGGGACAGTAAGGCCTGTACAACTTTCTCAAGATGTTTTTCCCCCTGGAGGGCGGCCGAGAGATGGAGCGTGAACAGTTCCCCCAGCGTGGAGCGGGGATTAAAGAAACGGTCCTTTGAACTGGCCAAGGCATTTTCTTTTGAGGACTAAGTGTATGTTTCTCTGCAGCCCTTAGTGGGGAGGAGAAGCCATCCATAGCTCTTCCTCATAGATGCAGGCTCTTGACAACCTGACCAGCAGTCTCTGCTTACAAAAATCCAACCTACATTTGCTTAAGCAAAAAGGGACGATTTCCTGGTTCAGATGACTGCACTGGGACCAGAGACCTGAGTTCCACTAGAGATGATCACAAACTCTCGTCCCTTTCCGTGCCCTTGAGGGTCTTGCAGACTGAAGGGTGGCGGAGGGGAGCTCCTTCGCACCACCAGGCAAGGGGGAGACGTGCTTACCAGGGCCTCCAAGTCCCGTCCTCACGGCATGGTGACCCATTGGGGAATGGAGCCTCCCCACTCTCCCAGGTGAACTCTGTAAACTCCCAGGGGAGAACTCTGGCCCTGTTGGGTTAAGTGCTCATCTCTGGAAGGAAGCCTTGTGGCTGGAGATAGGATTAGCGAGATCCCAACCCAGATCACAGCTCATCTGCATTAGTCAGCTCTCTGTCACTGTGACAAAGTGCCTGAGAGAACCAGCTTACGAGGACAAGAGGTTTCTTTCGGCTCACGGTTTCAGAGGTTCAGGGCATGGTCAGATGGGCCCTGCTGCTGCTGTGCCCTGCGGGAGCCTGGGAGCACAGAGAGATGAAAGCATCGAAAATCCTGTAGCCCTCTTCCGAGGCCCTCGTATCCTCACCTCCTCCTCCAGGCCCCAACCTTAAGGGTCCTGCCACCTCCAAGAGGGCTGTGAGCTAGGGACCAAATGATAGCACACCTCTGCGTCCTAGAAGTGAGCAGGAGCGACTCCAGGCCAGCTGAATATATAGCCCTTCCATTTGAAGTAACGATGGGCACCGTGCTGCTTTTTGGAACTCACACAGACTAGGGATCCACGTCTTCATCATTACACCTCTA